CTGCCACCAGGGTACCTCAGGGGCCCCCACAGGGACCCCTCCCCCATCCCAGCAACCCCTGATCCCCTCTCCTGCTCCTCCCCTTGCTTCTCCCAAGACCCCCACAGACCCAAATGACCCTTTTGAGCCCATCATCACCAAGGGCAGCCTGCGCAGCCATCCTACAAACATCCTGGCCCCCTTGAGGGAAGTGGTGGGGGCAGGGGGTGCCCCTGTTCTTGTGCATGTCCCCTTCTCCACCTCTGACCTCATCAACTGGAAAAGAAACACCGCCCCTTTGTCCCAAGATCCCACTGAGATGGCTGAACTGTTCAGGACCATCTTTCTCACCCATCGCCCCACCTGGGGGGATGTCATGACTCTCCTGGGTTCGCTCCTCACCCAAGAGGAGAAACGCTGCCTGCTGGCGGCCGCCCAGGTAGAGACCATGAAGGGGGATGTGGATGATGGGGCTGACAGTGAGGTGGTCTTCCCCACCAAGGAAGATCCAGGGTGGAACTACAACTCTGATGCAGGCAGGCTGGCTCTGAAAGGCTTCCACCGTGCCATTTTAGCTGCCATGCCTCTTGTTTACCCTCGCCCCCTGAACCTTTCAAAGTTCCTTGACATCCAGCAGAAGCCTGAAGAGAGTCCTTCTCACTTCTATGACCGGATCTGCCGGGTGGCCAAAACTTGGACCAATGTTGACCCCACCAACCCTGAGAGCCAACGCATGTTGAACACCCTTTTCATTGGGAAGTCAACCAGGGACATCAGGCTCCAGCTCCAGAAACTGGAGGGTGGGGAGGGGATGCCCATTTCCCAGCTAATCAACTTGGCCTTCAAGGTTTTCCACAACCGGGAGGATGCAGCTGCCCAGAAGGAAGAGGATGACAGAAAGGCTCAGGCTGAGGTCCAGGCCACCAGCCTGGTGGCTGCCCTGGCCGAAAGGGATAGGGACAGGGGCCACCGGGACAGACCAGCCTGGAGGGACCAAAGTCAGGGGAGGAGGGGAGGGCAGAGGGAGGTCCAGTGCTTTCAGTGCAAAAGGAAGGGACATTTCAAAAGGGATTGTCCAGAGCGGAGGGAGTTGGGAGCCCATGAGAGGGTCTTGTGACTAGGGAAAAGGATTGCCCTGGCCCCTTCCGACCCCATTGTGCCACTGAAATTTGGGGGGAGGACAGTTGACTTCCTCCTGGACTGTGGGGCCACCCACTCAGTGTTAACAGAGGGGTTCAGAGGGACAGAACTGGGGAGCAGGAAGACTCAGGTGGTTGGGGTCTCAGGGAAAGAGGCAGAGCGCTCCTTCATGAAGCCCATGGAGTGTGAGGTGGGAGGGAAAACTCTGTCCCATGAGTTCCTGTACATGCCTGAGTGTCCAGTTCCCCTTCTGGGTCGGGACATCCTTTGTAAGATCAGGGCCCAAGTTGCATTTGGGCCTGAGAAAATCATCTTGGCTGTGCCTGAGGAGGAGGGGTGGAGGGCACAAGCTTTTTTGCTCCATCAGCCTAGCCCAGAGGCTGACTTGATTCCCTTGGCCATTCTCCAACAGGTGGATCCCATTGTCTGGGCAGATGGGGTCCCAGAGAGGGCCAAGAACATTGCACCTGTCTCCATCACCCTCAAACCAGACATCATCCCTCCTAGGATCCCCCAGTATAGGATTTCCCTGGAAGCCAGAAAGGGACTCCAGCCCATCATTGACAATTTCTTGCAGCACTCACTGCTGAGAGAGTGTGCCTCTCCTTACAACACTCCTGTCCTTCTGGTTCGCAAGCCCCACACCTGTCCTGTGGAGTATCGCTTTGTCCAAGATCCCAGAGCCATCAATGCTGTGGTAGTGGACATACACCCTGTGGTACCTAACCCTTACACTCTACTTTTCACTATCCCTCCCTCATGCTCATGTTTCACTGTTTTGGACTTGAAGGATGCTTTCTTTTCTATCCCAATTGAGAAAGGTAGCCAGGAGATCTTTGCCTTCGAGTGGGAGCATGTGGGCACTGCCAGGCGGGTGCAACTTTGCTGGCAAGTTTTGCCACAAGGTTTTACCAATTCACCGACCATCTTCAGCCAGAGCCTCGCCTCAGAGCTGGAGAAATGGCCAGACCGCGACCAGGGGGTCCT